AAGAACATAAGAAAGATTAAGCAGATGAACAGATAAGAATAAGAGAGAGAAAAGAGATCAATCCTCCACACAAGTTTTTGCCCTCCAGCTTGCTCTCTCTAAAACCATACTTTCATCCAACTCAAGAAGAAGTATATCAGTTCCGATTCCTCTAATCCACCTCTCAACTCGTTTAACAGGTGCATTACTCGGTCTTCCTGTACCTACTCATCTACTCATCCGAGTTCCAAAAAATGCTTTAAATACATACTTGTGAAATAACAGAGGGAAAAGTTGGAAAGAACTAAATTTTGGGTAAAAATAAAAGATAGGGTAGAATTCATTGTATTATTTTTTCTATCATGTAAATGCTAAAAATTCTAAGGCTTTGTTTGCAAGTGATTGTGCTTAAATAAAAGCACTTTTTGGGAAAGAGTGATTAGTAGTAAAAGTTGGTAGTGTTTGGTAAAATAAGTGCTTTTTGTGTAATAGAAAAAGTAAAAAGTAGATTGTGCACGAAAATCGAGAAAGTAAAAGTTGGTATTGTTTGGTAAAATAAGTGTTTTTTTCTTAAAAAAAGCCAAAAGCACTTAAATTAATTGTTTGCAAACAAAGCCTAAGTAACTGTAAAAGTTATAGAAGTACTAATCTTCTTTCCTTGTGTGTTTGATTAAACTGACTGTTTTACTTCAAATATCAATGTGCAGTTCTTCTACTTTGACTCAGTGGAGTCGCTTCCAACTGAGACACTGGAAGCTATTGATTGCATGCCTTTGAATAGTCGGTATGATGCACAAATTTCAGTTTTTGGGAAAAAAATTCAAAAGAAGCTTGAAGAAGCCACAGTGTTTGTTGTCGGATCTGGTGCATTGGGATGTGAGTTTCTAAAGAACTTAGCTCTCATGGGAATTTCTTGCAGCAGTCAAGGAAAGCTAACAGTAACTGATGATGACGTGATAGAGAAAAGTAATCTTAGCCGACAGTTTCTCTTCCGTGATTGGAACATTGGCCAGGCTAAATCTACTGTTGCTGCTGTTGCCGCTACATCAATAAATTCCAAGTTTAATATTGAAGCTCTCCAGAACCGTGTGGGTCCCGAGACTGAAAACGTGTTTGATGATACCTTTTGGGAGAATCTTAGTGTTGTTGTGAATGCCCTTGACAATGTTAATGCAAGGCTTTATGTTGATCAAAGATGCTTGTATTTCCAGAAGCCACTTCTTGAGTCAGGAACTCTTGGTGCCAAATGTAACACTCAAATGGTCATCCCACACCTGACGGAAAACTATGGTGCATCACGTGATCCTCCGGAGAGACAAGCACCAATGTGCACTGTGCACTCTTTTCCGCACAACATTGACCATTGCTTGACTTGGGCTCGTTCAGAGTTTGAGGGTCTGCTTGAAAAGACACCAGCTGAAGCAAATGCTTATCTCACTAATCCGAGCGAGTACACATCTACACAGACTAAATCTGGTGATGCTCAAGCAAGAGACAACTTGGAACGTGTTCTTGAGTGCCTTGACAAGGAAAGATGTAAAACCTTTGAAGACTGCATTTCATGGGCACGCCACAGGTATGCACCCAACATTTCCCCCTTTTTAATCTCTTAACACCTTTATGAAGTGCTTCTTTTCTTGCTTTTCCAAGTGTCGTTCGGAATTTTGAAAATTGCTAAAGTAAAATGGATTAAAATGCTAGATAATACAAAATTGCTTTGAACTAAATAAATGAGTATTTGGCATTCATTACTTTGTATATTAAAAAGTTCTGAAAAGCTTTAGTGTCTGTATGGAATGCAGAAAATGCTAGTGAAAGAGAATAGGGGGAAAATATAGGAGAGATTCGGGATGAAAGAAAGGGGAGGGAAAAAAAATAATGATTTGGTTTAAACTCAATAAATTTATATATTAAATTTAGGTTGATTTCTTTTTTATTTTTTCATTAGGGGCAGCTGGGTGCATATAGGTGCCCCCGCATGGCCAGGGAAGGTTCCCACCGCAAGGGTGTATATATACTGAATAAATACAAGACTCATAAATTTTTATATATTCATGTGTTGTATATATACTGAAAAATGTAAACATGTGTGGATAGCTGAAACAGTGAAACATATTAGTTAGATGTCATCTTCCTTGTGTTTCATTTTTCTTCGCTTTTTTTGAGGTAAACCAAAGCTTTAGAAGCAAACTTCCCTACGTTTTCTTTTCGTCTCCTAGCATCTTATTAATCCAACACAGGGTTAATTAAATTTAATTTTTCTTTTGTATTTAATGAGATCAAAACCATTTGTCTTGGTAGCCTTTTCGTTCCCTACCATATTTAACAGTCCAAACCGATCCGATGGGTTCGTTCAGAACCCTAGAAAACATCAGGGGAAGAAAATATGTGGTCAAAGAGAGATTCAAACCCAAAAAATTGGTTTAATATTTGTTCCAACTCATATTACTATTATAGATGTACTTCGTATATCATATGAAATCTAATAAATATAAATAATTCTGTAATTAAAAAACAGCAATTATGTATCATTTTCCTCATTTGCTGAGGTTTAGGATGTTTTTACTTGGACTGTAATTTGCTGGTTTAGTCTGTCCTGTCTGTTGAACTGGTTTGGTAAATGTCTGGTCTCTTTGTATTTTATAACTACGGAAGTCTGGTCTGTTTAACTCTGGTCTGGGATTGAAAACAGTCCAAGTAAAAACATCCTAAATCAAACATAACCAGTCAGTTTTCCTTTGTATTCTCTGTCCCCAACATTTTATGGGATCAAAGCATACCCTAAAGATTTATCTCCTGCAGCTTTTGACCTAGCTTAACCCCCCCCCCCCCCCAGGTTTGAAGATTACTTTGCAAACCGTGTCAAACAATTGATATTCACATTTCCTGAGGATGCTGCAACAAGTACTGGAGCCCCTTTCTGGTCTGCACCCAAGCGTTTTCCTCAACCCCTGCAGTTCTCTTCAAAAGATCAGAGCCATCTCCATTTTGTCATGGCAGCTGCCATATTGCGTGCTGAGACATTTGGAATCCCCATCCCAGTCTGGGCCACACAACCAAAGGAACTGGCTCAAGCTGTTGACAGGGTCATTGTCCCCGAGTTTAAACCCAAGGAAGGTGTGAAAATCGTGACAGATGAGAAGGCTACCAGTCTTTCAGCTGCTTCAATAGATGACTCTGTGGTTATCAACGAACTCATAAGGAAGCTGGAGCAGTGTCGGGAGAATCTACCCCCAGACTTCAAGATGAAACCTATTCAATTCGAGAAGGTCCCAGTAATTACTTTAAGAAAAATATTCCACTTTTGGTCACGCGACTGTAGGGCCATTTTTACATGTTTGGTCCTCAACTCATTTTTGTTTCTGTTGCATTTTTCTACTTGTGGTGCACGACTATGGATTTATTTGTTAACCTCAGTCCAGATCACTTGTCCCACAAAATAATAACAGGACCAAAAATGACTAGGAATCAATAGTCGTGCATCTATAGTGAGAAAAATATAAAAGCTGGGGACCTGAATTGAATTTAACTTTATAACCCTATGGGACCAAGAGTGGGGTTTTCTCTCCTATATTGTTTTTGTGTTTTTTCATTTATATATAAAGCATCTATTATGTATTTCACACATGAAAATGGTTTTGTTTATTCATTGTTGGACTCTGATTTATGTCAAGCAGGATGATGATACAAACTACCATATGGATCTCATTGCTGGTCTTGCTAACATGAGGGCCAGAAACTACAGAATACCTGAAGTGGACAAGCTGAAAGCCAAATTTATTGCTGGGAGGATTATTCCTGCCATTGCTACCTCCACTGCGATGGCTACTGGCTTGGTTTGTCTTGAACTGTACAAGGTCCTCGCCGGGGGGCACAAGGTGGAAGACTATCGCAACACGTTTGCTAACCTTGCACTGCCTCTTTTCTCGATGGCTGAACCAGTTCCACCAAAGGTTATCCAGCATGGAGATATGAAATGGACTGTTTGGGACCGATGGGTTATCAAGGACAACCCGACTCTCAAGCAGCTCATTGATTGGTTGAGAGAGAAGGGGCTGAATGCGTACAGTATCTCATGTGGTAGCTGCCTGCTTTACAACAGCATGTTCCCCAGGCACAGGGATCGGATGGACAAGAAGATTGTTGACTTGGCAAGGGATGTTGCCAAGCTGGAGTTGCCGCCATATCGCCGCCACTTGGATGTTGTGGTGGCCTGTGAGGATGATAATGATAATGACATTGATATCCCCCTGGTTTCTGTTTACTACAAGTAGAGCGAGCTCTTTTTTATTTGTCTCCGTCTCGGTTACTTTGAGTGACCTTTTTCACTCCCATGTCTATGTCGACACTTGACATTGTTTAACAACTTTGTTCTCAAAGGCATAAATCAGACTCATTGTTGACTTCTTTTATCTTCATTGTTAACTTCTTTTATCTTCACATACTCAGTGATGGCTTGGATTCATTTGAGATTTTGAGAATGCGTTAAGCAGCACAGTAGATTCATGATAAATACTGAATCATATATTTGCGTCAACATAAAGTATCCATAAGGTGAAAACATGCTTCAATTTTTATGCTTTGGCTGATGGATGTTACTTTGTCGTACTTGTGGACGGGTAAATAAGAGTCTTCAACCAACTTTACTCCATATTTTGCATCAACACGACTTTTTTAATCATGTGGACCGGTAAATAAGAGTCTTCAAGCCTACGTATTATCATTCCCACAATCCCACTTAAGTAATGAAAATGGTTTTTTTTTGAAAGGAAATTGCTTATATTAAATTAATCAAAGACTGCAACGTACTTCTCCCTTACACTGCTCAAACTCCTCACTCAGACTTCTAAAAGTACTACCTCTCCTGTAACGCCAAACCTCCTCTTGAGGCTCCGCATAGCCTAAAGGCCCTCCCACTCTCTGGCTAGACTTAGAATAGACCACCCCCGAAGGAGCGAGACCATTCGCGAACCATGTGAGAGTTTCGAAGCTTTTAACGGCCAAACAAGCCTTATCGCTTCCACCAACATTAGAATCCCAAATCAAAAAATAAAAGGTAAACCCCAACCTACCACTAGAGTTCCAAACGAAAACAAAAGCAACATGAGTACCATAAAAGGAAAAACAACAAGAAATAAAAAAGTCTTCATGGCCCTCGGCCTTATTTAATTTTAGAAGCTGCGGATCAGTGTCTCTTACTGCATTGCTTGGCGAGCTACAGATTTGTAGCTCGCCTCCTCCCCATTTTTTCCTTCGTTCTGAACCATCTCCATATCTTCCCCGTTCTAGTGCACTGCTGGATCCTCCACACGTCTTCGCTTCTGCTCAATGTATCCCCTCTCGTGTGGTGAAAGCCCGCCCTCCCCAGTACTTGGTCGCATGTCGTCCTCTTTGTTTGCACTGGTAGCCTTGTTATCAGAACTGATTCCTTTCCCTGCTGGAACAAGCCATTTATTCTCCTTCCATTGCTTTGCCCCTTTTGTAGCTCTAAGCCATGGACCAAACGGTCTTTCCCCAGTGACTTCGTAGCCCCGCTGCTTATGTGGACAGTGGCTTTCCGCATGTCCTATTATTCCGCACAGGAAACAAAAACTAGGAAGCTTCTCATAGCAAAACCTGACACGGAAAGTGACTCCTTCCTCTTTTTGCAAAACCAATTTCCTTTTCAGAGGTTTCCCCAGATCAATACAAACGCGAATCCTCATAAAGGATTCCCAATTCTCAGAAAAGTTATTATCATCAACTTTTATAAAGATTCCTAAAAAATTCCCAATGCGTTCCGCATTCTCAGTAGTGAAATATCCCACTGGGATATCATGAACTTGGACCCAAAAATCTGCTTTATTGAGTGGAACAGACATGGGAATATCACCCTCTTTAAGCCTACTCATAACAATTAAGTTTTGATCAAAAAGCCACGGACCTTCCTCCACAACCCTAGTGACATCTTCCTCATTATAAAACTGAAAAACACCTCCTAGAACCAATTTCAGTTATGGAAACACCATTTTTCGGTTTCCACACGGACGCCATAATATCTCGAAATTGGGAAAAACGTACCGACTTTTCCGAGGTAATGGTCCCCACCATAGTCCAATTGAGTTTCGCTGAGGTCTGAATCATTGGTGCGACCACGAGAATTTCGTCCTCCTCCTCCAGATCCAACATTCCATAGGCGTTGGCAAGTGCGTCCACTCCATTGGTGCCATTCTGCTTCATATCGTTCTCCCAAGTCACCGAACTCCAGCTTCGATCTTCCACAGCCGCCGTTTGATGCGCTATTGCCGTACGACGAGAAGGAAAAACGCGGACGATCGATAAAATCGCCGCACCAACCCTAGGCACGAGGCCTCCCCTTCCTCCTTTAATGAAAATGGTTATAAATTATAATTGGGTAATTCTATTCATAGCCACATAATTACTAATTGCAGCCACGTAATTAAATTTTAATAAAACAATAATTTCAAATATCCGGAGTATATAACAATTCACGGATTAATAATGTGGACGATGCATCATCGGCATCCTTCTCTGCGCTTCTTCCATCAAGAATATCTCCTAATACAACGACCCTTCTCGTTCTGCCATCAAGAAGATTAAAGGACCTTTTAATGAATAAATCAATTTCACCTTTTCATGGACATTTGATGCTCCAATTCTGTCTTTTGCATGAAACAAAGGAGAAAGAGGAGACCAAAGTTCAAAGCCTCAGTAAACCAAAATCTATTCAGCGGGCTGCACATCTACATATTTTCATGGATAAAGAGACTTGAGTGAACTACCATTTTAATTCGAGCTTCACCTTGAAAAAATAAGGGAAATCAGACTAAGCACCAAACTTTCATCACCGTGAATCACTTTGTTGGATTGATCCCATGGAACCATCTACAGAACAAGATCGAAGGAGAATGATATATATCATGCATGAAAATAATGAATCACTTTGTTGTATTTTAGACCATTGCTTCTACAAAATCAGTCTAATCCTTCATCTTCTTCTTCGTTGTGAAAAAACAGACTGCAACATTAGCGGCCGCGGTAGTGCAGTGGTATGTGAGTAGAAGTTTCAAAATAAATCGATTCGGTCTGCGTTTAATTGAGAGGACATAATAGGAATTATAAAAAAGCATTTATCTTTTCCGGAAGTATGTGTGTGTGATTAGCAAATGTGCAACTGTGAATAGAATTACTCATTATAATTAGCTACCCATTTTAAAATTTCAGTCCAAAATGTGTTCAACAACTGAATGTGCAAAATGGATGTCATTATATTTCTCTTTATTTTTGTCGCCTCACTTGATGGGATAGCAATTTTTCTGGGTGTTTGCACAAAATAATGTAATTAATACTCAGTTACTATCACAAGTATATACTCCATACTACGTACGGTCGGTACGGATCATCCTGAAAACAATGACTGTACACCTATCTTTTTAAATATGCTCCATTGCTCCTAATAAGATCATTTTGTTCACTATAAAATTACTACGCAGTAATAATTTTTTTTAGCAAGGTCAAACTTAACAAGAATTTATCAAAGTCAAACTTTAAATTATCAACAATACAATCATGAGGAATTAAACACAAAAAACAACTATTAGGCAAAGAACCAACCAGCTCAGTCATAACATGAGCTAATTGTCTCAAGTGAGAAAAGGTTAAATTAGCAAAAAGTGACCTAATATCTCTAATATTTTTGGCCAATAGACCCAACACCGAATCACTTGATCCACCTTGAATACCATCAGAATCCTCACCCAGTTTAGCATTTTTCTCGAACATCGTCAATTCAGTAGAATAGTCAAGATGATTTTCTTTGAGTATAAAAAGAGATCTCCTACCACCACCATTTTATATCAAGGAAAATTTTCTAATAAAACAGTTTTTCCCTTTTTTCTAATAAAAGAGTTATTCCCTTTTATTCTAATTGAGCTCTCTCCCTCATATTAATTCTAGTCTAGCCTCCTAGTTTTTCCGATCCTTTTAATTATTTCCTACATTCTTAGGGTCATTTTGGATGTAGGGTTTTGTAGGGGAAGACGCCGAAGGGTTATAGCCTACATCTTGATATATATATATATTTGAGATTTTTACCAAAAATCAAAGGATTTAACATCACATGTGGATCTGTGATCATTTAACATTCATCTTGTATCTTACAGCGGCCGTCTTTGTCATTGTTACCAGTATCCCAACACAACAATTGTGACTGATAATGTGACCTCAGCGGCCGCTGCGATGCGTGTAACAGTCTCAACGGTGTGAAATAGTTTTAAGTGTGCACAACATAGAATTAATGGATGAAAAGTTAATAGGAACATTATGAATACTTGTTTAAACTGAACAACATATCAACCAATAAGAATATGACGATTAAAAGAGAATAATAATTATAAAGATTGCTAAACTAAATAAATATTACAAACACAGTTAAAAATGTCTTCAAACTAAACAAGTCTTAACACATTCTTAAATTAAATAGATTCTTACATTTAATGACACATTACAAACACAACTCAACATGTACTAAAATGATATAATATGTTCCAATCTATTCCTCGTTTTCGTGTGTATACAACTAAATGTGCTCCAATTCCCCTCACAATTTGTTCCTCGTCATCCTTATTAATAGTTAATTCGGTTTTAATAACTAAAATTTACATAATTAGAAACTACATTTGATGGTACCATGGATTAAGACCATGGCCCAATTACGTAGTCCCCTTAACGGGACCAGCCTAATTACAGGATTAGCCCATAAACGGGACCAGCCTAATTACAGTGATTAGCCCATAAACGGGATCAACCCTTAAAGGGATTAGCCTAAAAACAGGATCAGCCCATAAACGGGATTCATGATTGAAAGCCGCTTAGCCCATTAGGAATTAGGCCCACGATAGGAACCCACCACCAAGCCGAGCTGGACAGCAGACCTCGAGCCTGGGCAGAGTTCTAGTGACGCCAGGATATTCCTAGGGCTTACGTGGTGAGCTATCACTCGTTGATAGATATTTGGCAACAGGCAGAACTCATCCGGAGGACGGCGACTAAAAGGAGAAAGTAATCGTATGAGAATCAAGCATCGAAGAGTTCTATTTTGAGCAAGAATATAGTTCATTAATTGAGCATTTATTGTATTAGATTCCTCCCATAATTCTACTTCCCAATCTCTATAAATACTTGATGTAAACACCCTATGAAGGGGATCGGACCCCCGATAAAATTCTGAACCGAGGCTAGACTATTGCTAGTTCTCCGAAATAAAGAGTAAAACTGCCTTACACTGCCATATTATTCTCATATCTACGTATATTTAGCTCTCGTAGTTGGATTTAACTCCATCAACATTAAAATCTCTAGAAAATTGCAAAATCCAAATTAAAATTTAATTAAGAATTGATATCCTAATTAAGTGATTATGATGAGTCAATTTGACCCAAAAAGTCAAATTTGCAATTTAATATGGGACGGAGAGAGTAGCAATTAGTTAGCCCACATTTACAACATTTTTAGTGAGCATACACATGCATTTACGTTGGAAAAGTTTGGTCTCATTAATAGCTAATATTAATTAGGAATCATTCTGTATTTTGGAAACTGATTTATTATTATAAATACATCTCTCAGGACCCTCATTAGGGTAACCTGTACCAATTATTTCACATGGTATCACGAGCCTACAATTCTAAAACCTAAGATTTTTTTCCCGCTGCACTCCATGACCGACGTCACCTCATCCTGCGTCGTCACCCCTATCTCGGCCGTGAGTCAACCGACTGCCACCATCGTCGAGACCAGCGCCGCAGCGATCGATGTTCCTCCTTCCTCGCCCTTCTCGATCAGCGCCGCCATGTCAACCACTGCCAACTCTTCTTACATCACCGGTTTTTCTTCAAGCAGTGTATTCCCCGGCATGTCTCAGCCGGCCTTCCAAGGAGGCCCGTTGATTGGTCTTCTCCCGCTACTGTTCCGCTTCTCCAGACTCCTAGGCCGAGTTTTTCGTCCTTACCATGGCAGACCCTTCGCCCAGAACCACAGCAGCATCTCATGCCTTCCTCTTCAATATCGGCTTCACAGTTCTTCGGCCCTACCTTCACAGGGTCTCCGGGAGTGGTTCGCCCTCCGGAATCTGCTATTTTTGGCAGTCCCATGGCCTCATTGGTACAATCTTTGTCTCCTATCTCTAATGTTAGTCAGATTGTAACCATTTAATTAAAAGCTTTATTTAACTTGGCGCACACAATTTGAATCATTTTTGGTTTCCCAAGGATTATTTGGCATGCTTGATGGTTCTATCCCTGTTCCCCCCATGTATACTGTTGATCTCAATAATTGTCAGGTACCGAATACTGAGTACTATCATTGGCTAAGGGTAGATCAAACTATCCGCTCTTGGTTGTTTGCTACTCTTACTCGTGATGTCTTAGTTGACGTACATGATCTTAAACACTCTTTTGGTATATGGGAAAGGTTACAAACACGATTCATGTCTGCTAGTTTACCTCGTGCCATGGAATTGAAGCGCCAATTGACTAATCTTAAAAAGAGGGAAAATCAGTCCATGGACAGTTATCTTAGGGACATTAAAAATTTGGTTGATCCTCTCGCTGCGGTTCAGTCACCAGTTTCAGCCAAAGAATTACTTGAATCTATTCTTCGTGGTTTGGGTCCCGAATACGAAGCCTATATAGGTACCATTATGCTTTTTCCTGATCAATTCCCCTTTGAGAAATTGCAACCTCGTTTAATGGAGATCGAACAACGGGTCTTATTCAACCGTCAACAAGCATCTCAAGTTCATCAGGCCTTTGGAGCGGTTGAACAACAGCCCCCGCAGCAACAATATGCTCCACGCGGTCGCGGAGGTCGCGGAAGGGGAGGCCGCGGCCGAGGCAGAGGTTGCGGACGCCAGAATTATGGCCAGCAGTTTGGCCAGCACTATCAGGTTCCACAACATCAGGCCGGCCAGCTGCAACACTTCGGCCAGCAGTTCGGTCCAGCACTGCCGGTCCAGGGAGGTCAGCAGCCGTTTCGTCCGCCGATCCAGCCCGGTTTACCTCCTGCTGCATCTTCTTCGGGCACTTCAGGTTCTGCTAGTATATCTGTTTTGTCTGCTTTAAATAGTAATCCTTATTTTATTTATGGTACTAACTCTAGCACTGCAGGCTTTCCATCTTCTGAGGGTATTCTTGGTTCTGTCCCACCGCCTGTTGTTTGTCAGATATGTTTCTCCACAGGTCATTCTGTTATGCATTGTCCGTCCCGGTTCAGTCAAAACTCTACTCCTGCATTGATGACCTCCAATAGCGATGCTAATGCTTCTTTATGGTTCCCGGATTCCGGTGCGTCTGCCCATATGACTCCATCAGAAGGTATTTTAGTCAATAAATTTCCTTATACTGGATCACATTTTGTTAGTGTTGCTAATGGTTCTCAATTATCTATAGCTAATATTGGTGATATTCCATTATCTTCCTCTAATCTCCCTCTGGTTTTAAAATCTGTTTATCATGTGCCTCAAATCAAATTTAATTTATTATCTATACAGAAACTTTGTGCTGATAACAACTGTATTGTCATTTTTGATAAAAATTCTTTTTTTGTTAAGGACAAAATTTCGGGGGCGGTCCTTCTTCAAGCACCCAGTAAAGGCCATCTTTATCCTGTCAGCCTCAGTTATCCATCTTCACTTGCTCTCTCATCCGTGTCCGTTCCAGGCGTCTTGTGGCATCGTAGACTAGGCCATTGTGGCGATTCTATTTTACATTCTTTAAATAAGCAAAAACACATTAGTAGTAGCTCTAGTTTTTCTCATGATTGTATTTCTTGCCGTTTAGGCAAATCACAACGTTTACCTTTCTCAGATGCTAGTCATTCCTGTTTTGAACCACTTCAGCTTATTCATTCTGATGTTTGGCAATCGCCTGTTTTATCTAATTTGGGATTTAAATACTATGTGTGCTTTATAGATGATTTTTCTCGATTTACTAGGTTGTATCCGATGCATCGAAAAGATGAAGTTTTTACTCACTTTAAGAATTTTAAGGCTCTAGTTGAAAATCTTTTTACTACTAGAATTAAAATTTTTCAAAGTGATGGAGGGGGTGAATTTGTTAATTCTAATATGCAGCAATTTTTTAATACCCATGGCATTTATTTTCGAAAGTCCTGTCCTGATACTCCTCAACAAAATGGGGTTGCTGAAAGAAAACATAAACATTTACTTGAATTAACTAGGACTATGCTTCTTGAAGCCTCTATTCCTAGCACCTTTTGGGTTGATGCTATTCTCACTGCTGCATATATTATTAACCGATTACCTACTCCTCTTCTTTTCGGGGTATCACCATACGCGAAACTTTTTCATAAAGCCCCAGATTACTCTTTTTTTCGTGTGTTTGGTTG